ATCCCTAATCCCTAAACCCTACACCGAGCTCTTCTCCGGGCGCTGTCCTTAAACGCATAGAGTTTAAGGTTTAAGGTTTGGGAGTTTAGGGTTTAGGCTTTCGGGTTTGGGGTTTAGTCTTAGGGTTGTGTTGATGGAATGCGTCGCATTCGGGACATGAGGTGTCAGGATTTTGTGTCGAGGGTTTGTTCTCATGCCCTCATGCAATATTGTTTGTTCAATCTACGTTGCTGGGGAGCCTAGATTCTAAGCCCTAAACCCTAAACCCAAACCCTAAACCCTAAGCCTAAGCTGAATTCCTAAATCATCTACGCTCACCCTGCGGATCCCTTCTTCTTCGTCGCGACGCCCGCAGGACTACACCTCGCACCCAACTCCTCACAAACCCTTAGCCCTAAATCCTAAACCTTATGCCCTAAACCTTAAACCCTAAGCCGTAAAACTGAGGGCCACCGCAGGAGCGTCTCAGGAATTAACTCCATGCAATCAGCAATTGTCTGCCTAAGCTTTTGTACAATTCCGCAAGCCTTGATGCAGGAACGGCTCCAAAAAGCACCCTGAACCCTGCCAACCCCCCAACCCCCCACTCCTTAGACTTTAAAGCTTGAACTGTAGGCTTCAGGCTTTTTGGCAGCGTCTAGGCAGTTGGCAACTCAGTATTTACCTTCTTGCCTTCGATCTAGGCATGGGTGTGTCGGATAGCGCGAAACGGCAGCCGGCCAGCACGTTTCGCTGGTGACTCTTTGGGTTTTGCTACAATAACCTCTTTTCTTGTCGACGTGTCCGTCCTGAGCAATCTATCAGCTTGGCTTTGTCGTTTATGAAAAAGCCCGCGATCTTTGTTCTCAGTTTGCAGCAAGTCGGTGAAAGTTCGACGTGCAGTGCGAGGGGCGATGTTTGAGCGAGCTGATTCCACACCTGTGTCCAAGCGCTGGCGCCCACCATGTCATCGGTCTAATGTAGGGGCCGGAATAATTAGAGTAGGGTTTTGGGGGTTATTATAGTAGAATTACGAAGGGACCATCGAGGGTATTATTAGTGATTATTCCGACGCCTATATTAGGGCTTAGTTCGGGCTCAGGGTTTAGAGTTGTTGCGTTTCGCTGAGGTTGCAGCTTTGCTCCAGACAAAAGCCGAAGAGCTGCCTGCGCAAGGACTTTTTGGCAGGGTCTTGGGCTGGCTTCGGCGACATGCCGATACGGCGTCTTGCAACCGTCGCCTTCCACACTTGTAACGCCTGGGCATGTTTACGCGTAATCAAACCCACCAAAAAACCCACCAAGTGCTTAATCCCTTTTCGCGTGAAGATTGCTAGGTGCCCTGCTGAGATGCCAGTGCGTTTCGAGTGTCGGATAGCAAGGCTCCTGAGAGCTAGGTACCGATGCAGAGCGCTGTAGAACGCAGGGCAAACAATGATGTCACGCATGACTTCTGCAAGCTCTATGGAACTACGTTTGGCTAGTGCAAGAGACGGCTACCTCCCAACTCGAGATAGATGCAACTTACGCAACCCCAAACCCCTAAACCGTAAACCCTACACTCTAAACCCTAGAGTGGCGGCAAGGACTGGTGGGTGCAGCCGCTTGGGAGAGCAATTGGGTGCCATCGAGCCAGGCTTCGGTGGATAGCGGAGCGATAGCTGAATGCAAGGTGGTTTCCGAGTGTTTGTCATGCAATGTATTGTGTTTACTGTTATTAACTATTGTACTCCTATATTGCCGTTAATATTTTATAACGATTATTAGTGCTATATTTCATAATGTGGAGAGTGCTCAGGGTTCGAGGGTGTTGTGCAAGGCTCTGGTTTGGTACGCAGCACACTGGGCACAAACCAAACCCCTGAACCTTGCGTAATTCAAGCCCGCCGACTCAGAGGGCTGGAGCCCCAACCAGTGACTGAGGAGAAGAAACAGTTTGCACGCTCCAAAGCCTTCGCCTCAAAATCAAAAAACCCCTTCCCAGCTACCGACAACATGAAACCGAAAAACCTGTAAGTTTGGGGGTGTAACCTTTTCTCCCTGCCGTTGAAGTAAGTAGGGCAGCCGTATGTGTAGCCTGCAGTATGGCACCTGCAATATGGCGCGTGCAAGCCGAGTGTCAATTGCCCAAATTTTTCGAAACCCAAAACTGCAGCTTAGGGTTTGGGGTCTAGGGTTAGGGTTTAGGATTTAGGGTTTATTGAGCATGCTTCGTGTGCAGGGGTCGGTTTTGAGAAAATAACCATCGACTTTTTCTCTTAGTTTCTTGTTAAGTTCTGTTTTTCTGTATATTGTTTTAGATTTTTTTACGTGTGTTTGTGATTTCAATTTTTCAATCGTTTTTTGCATTGTTTTTCGTTTGTCGGAGTTGTGTTGTTTGGCGTTTGCAGACCCTCCCTCTCTCTCTCTCTCTCTCTCTCTCTCTCTCTCTCTCTCTCTCTCTCTCTCTCTCTCTCTCCTTTCTTTTACTGAGTTTTACTGAGAGACGAGAAAAGCGAGAAGAGAGAAGCGAGAAGAGAGAAGCGAGAAGAGAGAAGCGAGAGGAGAGAAGCGAGAAGAGAGAAGTGAGAAGAGAGAAGCGAGAGGAGAGAAGCGAAAAGAGAGAAGCGATAAGAGAAAAGTTTTTGCGTTTTATTGTTTGTAATATTTTTGTGGGGTTGTGTGGCGTGGGAGTTTCTTTGGAGTTCTTCTTGGAGGTTTTTGACTAATTTTTGGGAGTTCGAAAGCCGCGAAGCTGGAAGGCGCGTGGGGGGTTTCACCGTACATCTTCGTCGTTGGCGGCGTCGCCGTCGTCGTCTAGGATCTTCGACTCTCTTGTGGGTTGGAGCAGATCACAGCGTGCTTTGGGGTGTTCTTTTTGTTCAGATTACCTGCAAAAGAGGTTCTTGCCCGAAGGCGCAGGAACAAGTCTAGGAACAGCGTGCCTTTTCGCCATGGCCCAGGTTGTATTACCGCCGCAAGTGTTTGGACATCTCTTGCGCGCGCTGTGGCGTCGAAAGCAGACTTAGGGCACGAGCTGATCTCAGAGCAAGTGCTTCATGCAGCAGTCGTGGCGCTGGCTTATGAAAGCTTTCCTGCTGGTCGCCGCCCGCACTGCCTTGGCGATGTTCCAAGATCCAAGTGCTCCTGCAGCGATCGTGAGGCATTGCCGTGTTGCAAAATCCTTAGCGTAATTAGTCACAACTCTTGAGGTGCAACGCCGCAATTCTGCAATCCAAGCTGCCTCGGCCTTTTTGCCTTGCAGATCAAGCTTTAGAGGGATAGGTTCATGTTTTGGCCTTTTCATTTGAGGCTTGCCAGCCACTGGAGCATTCAGCAGCTTGCGGAGAGCAATGAGCCTCCTCTGCCGTTGAGGGAAACGGCGCGAGGCACAAGCGTCGCCAGTCTGACCTGCCCAAGCAATTGCGATGAATTTTGCAGTTGAGGACCGCTTTAAGCGGCAAGCCTTGAAAAGCTGACATCGTCAGCACATACATGCTCTCAGCCCACATTGGTGTTTGGGTGTTGGCTGCATCTCTGCGTCCAATCAATCAGTGCTTTATGCCTTGGTGAGCACGGCGCCCTGTTCGCGTGTCAGGTAGGCCGCGGAAGCTACCTGGCAGGTGCAGCCTACGAACTGCCAGGACGAATGGATTTTGAAGCGTTTGTGAGGCCACGCTGACTTGGCTCCAGCATTCTGGGCAAAATTGCAGCTACAGGCCAGCACAACCACCGACTTCCCGAAGGCCAGGGGGTTTTCAAGTTCCTGACGCATTCGTAATATCCTGAATCTGGCCGGGCATTTGCAGGATCTTGGGAAGCTTCAGCCCAAGCTTTGAGTGCAAAATGACATCCACAGTGCTGGCAGACATCTCGCTCAGGGCTTCAAGCCGTTGAGGAACGGCATCCTTGACAAGGCCTCTTCTGCCTTGGGCTTGCCAAAGCTTGATGTCGGCCCTGTGAAAACGATTGGCTGCCCGCTTTGGCATGCACATGTACCATTTAGGAAAACCCAGGGTGAGAATCTTGTTTGGTTGGTTTCGCTTCGTTCTCGCCGGTGCCTGGAATGGTGGCACGCTGCAAGTAAATTCGTTTGCGTGTGCAAAGATTTTAATATGTCCTGTTTTGGGATTTAGGATTCAGATATCTGGGATATCAATATAGTTTTAATAAAAGAGATATTATATTTTCTTACAAGGATTCTACGAATGGATACTCGTTTGTATTCACAAACCTTCGGAAAAAACAGATTTGAGATTTTACTTCATGTTTTTTTTCCGCTAACGGTTTTGCGAAAGTTATGCAATTGAGTTTGTTCCCTGTGTGTGTGGGTGTCGGTTCTTGAGGGAAATATCCGGATGTGTTGTTTGTTTTTTGTTCTTTGTTTTTGTTTTTTGTTTTTGTTATGAAATTGTGTTTGGGTTTTCCATCTTTTTTAAAAGTTCTATTTACTTTTAAGGTTGTTTACTTCAATGGTTTATTGCAATTTATCTGAATCCTATCGTTTTTCAATCGAAGCGAGAGAAGAAAGTTTAAACCAGTTTTAAATGAAGCCCTGGCAGGCAATGAGGTTTTAGTATCTCAAATACATCGAGCGTTGTCAAGTCTATTCGATTCCTGGCAAGGAAGGAGGTTCAAGTATGTTGAGCACTTTGAACAATTTCGGCTGTGTTTTAGAACAATAAACGGAACATTGGATCTAGTTGTACAAAGATGCATCATGAAGGCATGTACGATGTAAAACGCACGCTCAATCCATACGCTCTTGGGGGTTTAGGGTTTAGGGTTTAGGGTTTCAGTGTGGGGAACTATCCTCAAAGGTCGTCGCGCTGTCGCAATTGGGGCCCTGGCCGGGAACTCACGTTGCGTAGCCTGTGCTTGTGTAGGGTTTAGGGTCTAGGGTTTAGGCTCTAGGGTTTAGGGTCTAGGGTCTAGGGTTTAGGGTTTAGGGTTTAGGGTTTAGGGTTTGAGTTGCGACAAAGAAAACCCCAGAGTAAAAGGCCTAATTGAGTTTATAGGGTCGGATTGAGGGATATTCGGAGTATGCAGGCGACTGGGGCATTTGGCCCTAAACCTTCACCCCTACGCCCTAAACCGTTGTTATCTGTGGGCTCCCTTTGCAGCTTCTCCGATGAAGGCGGAGACCGCCTGAACCTTTCAGAGGAACAGAAACACAGGCTCATCGGCATCGGCATGGCAGTGGCAATGGGGAAGACTGTAGAACCATCGCAGTCCTCAAGCGAGATTCTCAATGAGTCCCAACAAGCGAAGTTGGTCCGTGAAACAGAGACACAGGTTCGACAGAGCCTATTGCCCAAGCTCACGGGTGTTGGCTGGACTACGAAACACGAGACTGCGCTTAACATCCTTGAGAAGATGAGTCAGCAGATGACAGTCACTTTGAGTGCCGATTTGCTTGAAGATTTGCGACACAAGAAAGCAGACTTTGTCTGAATTCGGATTGTGAGCTTGCGGGCTATAGGACGGGCTTCTGGCCTATGGGGGTGGGTGCTGAGCTTAAGCTTTTGCTGTGTAAACCCGAATCCTTCAACTTTAAACCCCAAGTCTAGACTTCCGGCCTCAATGCCTCAGACCTCCCGAAACGTTGGGGAGGTAACGCCTGGCAGTTCCCGTAAAAGACCCGTTACACCAATCAGGGCACCCTTTATTCCTAGTTTACTCTTGGGTCTAGAGGTAAGCCCTGCAGAAGCTTCCCGTTTATTGGGTTTTCAAATGAGGATGCTTACGAAGTTTTTCAGAGCATTTTAAGGGAAGGTCCCCAGAAAGCCTCCCCCCCCTCCCCCCAAAAAAACAGAAGAATGGAACGCACACTAAGTTTCAAGTATCCTCGCGGTCAAAACGTTTCGGTCAAGCAGTTTTTGGGGCTCAAGCCCAAATCAGTTTCCATCATAGAGGGGTCGGAATAATTACCAATAATAATACCCCCCCAAAACCTTATTGTAATTGTTCAGGCCCCTAGATGAACCCCGAAACCTTGAAACTCAAGCCCAGACGTCGGCCCTTTACGAAGCCCCTTGAGCCGAACGCCTCAAGCCTGCGCCCTAAAACTGAAAGCTTAGAACGGAGCCCCAGTCCTGGCACTAGGCCATATCCACTGCGCAAGCCGAATATTGTTTCAGAGCTTACTTGGAGGTTCGGATTTGGAAGGCAGTGATTAAGCAGGGCTATGAGCCCTAAACCTGAAACCTGAAATCCTAACTCCAAACTCCAAACCCCTTCGGAACCCCTTCTGGGGCCCTGCTACTGTGGCTCTTCTTCGTACCTGCTTAAGTCACCCGGTCCTCCAAGTGGAGCCCGGAGCCCTGCGACCTCTGAGCCCTCGAAGCCCTGAGCCCTCAACTAGGGTTTTGGGTTTAGGGTTTAGGGTTTAGGGTTTAGGGTTCAGGGTTTAGGGTTTAGGGTTTAGGGTTCAGGGTTTAGGGTTTAGGGTTTAGGGTTTAGGGTGCCCTGGTGTGCTTCGAAGGCCACAGGAGCCGCCCCCAGGGGCAACTCTCCTCGAGGCGTTAACTGGGCGCCGGGACCCCGTCCTTCATCTTGAGTCGGAATGCCCCCCCTCCCTTGAATACTAAATCCTAAGCCCTAAACCCTAACACTAAGCCTATCACAAAAAGTGAATTTGCAAAAGGATTGACATGCAAACGTGGGAGTCTTCGACATTAGCAGGATGAGGGGATTTCATATCATGGGAGGGGGGGATTGAAGGTTGCAAGCGTGCCAACAACGAGGATTTCTTTTTGCTTCGGGTAGGAACTGATGCAGTGTTGGTATAGGGACTCTGCACCCTAAACCCAGATAACGTAGGGGCCTCAATGGTTGGACTCGGGTTTTGGGGGTGATTACACTATACCTATAAAGGAACCATAAGGGAAAACTTTTCGTAATGAAACCATACAGGGGCTTGATTTGACACTCGCTGGTTAGGAGAAGGATTAAAGATTGAGGTCCTCGGGGCTCTGTGGGGAGCATCTCCTAGATCCTCTCTGGAGCCGTGGCAGGGTTTAAGGTTTAGGGTTTAGGGTTTAGGGTTTAGGGTTTAGGGTTTAGGGTTTAGGGTTTAGGTTTAGGTTTTAGGGTTTAGGGTTTAGGGGGTGTGCTTCTCTGTTCAGAAGTAAGCGGCTGCATCTGCAGGCCGAAGCCTTGCAGTTGCGACGAGGGCAGCCCGACAAACATCTGTGAACCTGTGATCCGCAAACCCCAAACCCCAAACCCCAAACCCCAAACCCCAAACCCCGAACCCCAAACATCCCTAAACCCTAAACCCTAAACCCTAAACCCTAAACCCTAAACCCTAAACCCTAAACCATAAGCCCTAAGCCCTAAACCCTAAACCCTAACCCCCCCCAAACCTTGCTACGCCTTAAGCCCCACTCCCTAGGCCCCTAGACCCGAAGCTCTAAAACCCTACACTTTGAGCTGTAGACCTGACCTCTTCACACTCTGAAAGACGTAAACTCTTGGGCTTTAGGGTTTCGAGTTTCGGGTTTAGGGTAACCAGAAGCCCTAAACCCCAAAATCACCAGGTCTCGGAGAGCTATCGCCGCCACACCTTGCTGCCGCCGCGCTGGCGGCCGCGACGTCCCCTGGGCTGAGATGCTTCACAGAACATAGAGTGTAGGGTTTGGGGCTTGGGTTTAGGGTTTAGGGTTTAGGGTTTAGGGTTTAGGGTTTAGGGTTTAGGGTTTAGGGTTTAGGGTTTAGGGTTTAGGCTTTAGGCTTTAGGCTTTAGGCTTTAGGCTTTAGGCTTTAGGGTTTGGGTTTGGGGTTTAGGGTTAGGGTTTAGTGTGCAGCGAACGGCCAAGCAGCTCAGGTTTCTTTGGAACTTGGACGGTAGAGATATCATACATACTGCATTCGTGATGCGGCCATCCCCGGAGGCAGGGGTGGGACGGACTATCAGCGTTGCTGTGCTTGCTGTCAGCGACTCCACAAGTCAGCGCAGCATACCGGTGCGTCTCAAGGACTTGGCAAGGTGACAAACCACCCCTAAGCCCGAAACCCCTATGAAACCACATAGAGCCCTTGTCACCCTAAACCCTAAACCCTAAACCCTAAACCCTAAACCCTAAACCCTAAGCCCTAAACCCGAAACCTGAAACCCTAAACCCTAAACCCCAAACCCCAAACCCTAAACACCCCAGCCCCCAAAATTTTCCAGTCAGCCCAGGCTAGGCCATGTGCGCAACAGCGCCTTTTGGCAACAGGCTCGTGACCTTGTGGTTTGTGCTTAGGGTTTAGGGTTTAGGGTTTAGGGTTCAGGGTTCAGGGTTCAGGGTTCAGGGTTTAGGGTTTAGGCCCCCCCCCGCCCAACCCCGTAAACCCGAATCCCCAAACCAAACCCTCAACCCTAAACCCTCAACCCTAAACCCTCAACCCTAAACCCTCAACCGTAAACCCTCAACCCTAAACCGTAAATCCTAAACCCTAAACCCTAAACCCTAAACCCTAAACCCTAAACCCTAAACCCTAAACCCTAAACCCTAAACCCTAAACCCTAAACCCTAAACCCTAAACCCTAAACCTTAAACCCGAAACCTTAAACCCTAAACCCTAAACCCTAAACCCTAAACCGTAAACCCTCAATCCTCAACCCTCAACCCCAAACTTCTGAGCTTCGGCCTCCGCTCCCCCTAACCCTGGGCCCATCTGCAGTCAGGGGGGATGCAGGGTTCGTGCGCCCTCAGTCGCCTGGGCCCTGTACATCCCTAGAAGTCCTAAAAACTCCAGAAGCCCCATATTCTGGTTTCGGTTTCAGGGTTTAGGGTTTAGGGTTTAGGGTTTAGGGTTTCGGGGTTTCGGGTTTCGGGTTTAGGGTTCAGGGTATGAGTTAAGCCCTATAGGCCTTGTCGGCCCTATCAATTCCATGAGACCTGGAAGCGCACCTCACGCCCTTGGAAGCCCTAAACCCAGGCTCCGAACTCAAAACTTCAAACCCGAAACTCTCAAGTTCGGGTTTAGGGTTTAGGGTTTAGGGTTTAGGGTTTAGGGTTTAGGGTTTAGGGTTTAGGGTTTAGGGTTTAGGGTTTAGGGTTTAGGGTTTAGGGTTTAGGGTTTAGGGTTTAGGGTCGCTCTCTGACTGGCAGATGCACGGTGCCCTGAACGCCGCCTGCAGCGCACTGCCCCCGCGCAGCGTGGTGCGCCGGCCGTGGTTTTGAGACTCGTGGCAGTACAGGGCTTGCAAACCCCTAAGGCCTAAACCCTAAATCCTAAACCCTAAACCCTCAACCCTCAACCCTCAAGCCCTCAAGCCCTCAAGCCCTCAAGCCCTCAAGCCCTCAAGCCCTCAAGCCCTCAAGCCCTCAAGCCCTCAAGCCCTCAAGCCCTCACTAAGCCCTGCCCAAGCCCTTAAGCCTTCTACAGTGCTACAGCTAAGTCTCAACCCTTAATCCCTAAGCCCGTAGCCCCTATAGTTCCAGTTTGCCTTGGACCCCTAAGGTTGTACCCTTGGGCTCTAAGGGAATATAAGGGCCACAAACCCTAAACCCTAAACCCTAAACCCTAAACCCTAAACCCTAAACCCTAAACCCTAAACCCTAAACCCTAAACCCTAAACCCTAAACCCCAACCCTAAACCCTAAACCCTTGAGGGGTACAAGCTTAGGGGCCACGAGCCTTGATTTTCCGGGTCTATCTAAGGCCGGATCCATGGGGCCCCTAGCATGATCCCTTATCCTTGTTTATAGGGGTCCGATGTGTGGGCCTTTCCTACAAGCACATGCATGTAACCCTAAAACCTAAACCCTAAACCCTAAACCCTAAACCCTAAACCCTAAACCCTAAACCCTAAACCCTAAACCCTAAACCTAAACCCTAAACCCTAAACCCTAAACCCGAAACCCTAAACCCGAAACCTTACACCCTAAACCCTAAATACTTGGGGAACCCTAGAGTCGAGAGAGGGCTTCTAGGCATTCCCAGGACCCAGCGTAGGCCCCGAATTCCCTTTTTCTAGGGTTTAGGGTTTAGGGTTTAGGGTTTAGGGGTTCCCTGTAGAAGCCCCTTTAAGCCCCGAAAAGGGCACCCTTGTCAAGCCTAGCTTGCTCTTGGGGCTAGATTCTGGTTTACATGGCTTGAAGGCCTAGACCCTAAACCACTTTGGCTTTGGGGTTTAGGGTTTAGGGTTTAGGGTTTCGGGTTTAGGGTTTAGGGGCTTGGCTTGAGAGGCTTAACAGGTTTTGGGGAGCTTACAGGGTGGCCTAAGGGGGCTTCTAGGGGGTTATAGGAGCTGTGTGAATTTTGAGGGTTTATGGCCATAGAGTTCATGGTTCAGGTCCGCTGCCTCAATCCCAGAACGTGGACCCAGAGTGACAGAGAGCGTGGGTTTCTTTGTCTCTTTGAGGGGGGGGGAAGTTCCCTTGCAAATCCCTTTTTAAACCCTAAACCCTAAACCCTAAACCCTAAACCCTAAACCCTAAACCCTAAACCCTAAACCCTTGTTCCCATGCGACCCTCGGAGTCCTACAAGCTCGCACCAGGCCGACGTACTCCTTGCGCTGGCTACGCACCAGCTCTGCCCCATCACGCTTCTGGAGGACGCCTAAGAGACGGGGTTAGGGTTTAGGGTAGAGGGTTTAGGGTTTAGGGTTTAGGATTCAGGGAATAAGTACGAAGAGTCTTCTCTCATGGTCCCGTTAAAATTCTGCAATAAAAACCCCAAAACCCTATTCTAATTATTAAGGCCCCTATATGAAACCCTGAGCCCGAAACCCCTTACCTTAGGAATACTTGGGAATAGTTCTTACTGTTTGGGTACTATAGTTCCTAAGAAACAGCTAAAAGTACAATTTTTGCCATGGCTCCAAGTTCCGTATAGTTACACTTGGAAGCTCTCTTGACTTCGTCTCTGCTCAGCATCCCCCTTGAAAACCCTGCGACAATCCCCAGAACTCACCTTACTCACCCTTTCGTATCTGACTAAAGCGCCTGACTCTAACGGATTGAAGGTTTAAGGCTCTAGGGTTTAAAGGTTTTTCAGTAGGGTCTAGGGTCTACAGTTTAGGGTTTAGAGTTTCCGTATTACACAGGTAGGCAGCCGACGCCTGAATCCAACACACCAAGCCCTTAACCTTCTTGAACCCTAAAGGTTTTGTTGTTTAGGGTTTGGTTCCCCAAACCCTCAAGATAGGGTCCTTCAGGGAGGGGGTTCATGGGGGCTTTGGTACCTGGGGAACCTTGGGGGAGCTCAGGGAGGTTTAGGGAGTAGTGGGGAGTGCTGTTTAGGGTTTAGGGTTTAGGGTTTAGGGTTTAGGGTTTAGGGTTTAGGGTTTAGGGAACCTTGGGTTACAAACCCCCCCCATGTCCTCCATGAACCCCCTCCCAGACAGCATCCTTAGGAGTTGCAAGCTTGCTTGCCCCGCGTTGCGGCGGAGATGCAGCCGGATGAGGTTCAGGGTTTAGGGTTTCGGGTTTCGGGTTTAGGGTTTAGGGTTTAGGGTTCAGGGTAGAGGGTTCAGGGTTGGAAATTTCCGGGGCCTGCATGGTTCTCTGCTGTAGGGGGATGGAGTAGCAAAACGGGCTCATAATTCATTGCAGCCCCGATGACTTTCAACGTCAGGGGCCTCAGGCTTATAATCCAAAGCCCTACAGCAAGCCTTTTCTCTAAGAAATGCTCAACGCACCCCTTGGGCATACCCTTAAAAGAAATTAAGGGGTATGGTAGTATCCTTGCTTTTTTAGGTTAAGGGGTATGGGTTTGGGGTATGTTGAATTATTCTTAGATTTTCGGTTTTGGGACGTGGGAGGTGAGGTGGAAATTCAGGTTTGCGGTGCCCAAGAAGATGCCCGAGACCCCAAAGCTCGACCAACCTAACCCCCCAAAAAGATCCAAACGACTAAGCCCGAAACCCTAAGAGGCCCTAAACTCTAAGCCCCAAACCCAAAGCCTCAAACCCCAAACCCCGTTCGTTTTAGGCTGGGATCCCTTCCAGAAAGCAACTTTTCTCTCCAAGGTTTCTGGGGAACCCAGCGATAGCCCTAGAAACCGCCTAGAAAGCCTTAACCCTGCCAAGCCCCAAACCCCTAAAGTACCCTCTAAGCGTCAAGTTCTACAGTTCAAAGCCCGTAAACCCGAAGCCCCGAGCCCTAGGCCCTAATCCCTAAGCCCTAAGTCCTAAACGGTTCTGGCAGGCACTTACAGCGAGCTGGTCTCTCGCGGCCTTGCTCTTTTCGCGGGCAGGCCGGGTTGGGGTTTGGGGTTTGGGGTTTGGGGTTTGGGGTTTGGGGTTTGGGGTTTGGGGTTTGGGGTTTGGGGTTTAGGGTTTCGGGCTTCGGGTTTAGGGTTTAGGGTTCAGGGTGCACTATGGCTACGGGTCTGCTGAGCGCTGTGGTGTGAAGACACGCTTCGGAAGGACGACCGTTGGGTTTACAAGCGCTGGATGGTGTCCGCCCAAGCCCTTGGGGCAGACGACCCCCGTTGCCCATACCCTAAACCCTAAACCCTAAACCCTAAACCCTGAACCCTGAACCCTGAACCCTAAACCCTAAACCCACTGGAGCAGGCTCGGCCACTGATCCTTAGGGAGGGCATGATCACGCGATTCCATGCCGCGCAGAAATTGCAGGAAAATCCCACAAAGACACAGGCCGTCATCCTTGACATCAGGCTACGCAACGAGGAGGCGATCAAGCTTGTGGGGCCCGCTCGAGGTGTGCAGAGGACTAGTGGCTCTCCAAGCTTCCTAGGGTTTAGGGTTTAGGGTTTAGGGTTTAGGGTTTAGGAATACAGCTCCTCGACTGCGCGCTTTGTACAAGGAAAGGGTAGAAGAGCACTTGCTACAAGGAGACTCAACGATAGGCTGCGGATGCGACGTTTGCCTCCTGTTGCAGGAGCAGTTTGTAAGGTTCCACGTGCTTCCATGTTTCCTACGATTAAGGTGGCGGCTGCTTGCACATACAATACAACGCCGCCCAAATGCACCTACCTCGGCATATGACATGCTTCCTCATGGCGCTGGGTTGCGTGGGGATGCGTGGTGAAGGACCCAATTTTTTTAGCTCTTCTGTGGTTGCGCGGGGGGGGGGGGGGGGGGGGGGAGGGGGGTAAATCACAAGCCCAAAGCACTGGGCCCTAAAGCCTGTGTCCTAAGCACCCGAAACCTTACATCCTAAATCTCACGGCCTAGAATCCTACATCCGAAGTTCCAGCTAGGAACATTTATACACTGCCTATCCTTCGCCCACAGATACTTAAGCCGAAATGGTTTCTCTTGGTAGCTGAGTGGTACTGAACCCGAACACTAAACGTCACTAAACCCCAAGCCGACCCTTCCCCCCCCCCCCTCGGGTGGGAGGCGTCCTGCCCGCGCTGGTGGAACGCGCCCTGGAAGGCGAACTTGGCGTGGCCGAGGCCGCGGCCCGAGAGGGATTTAGGGTTTAGGGTTGAGGCGTCAGCGTCTACATTTCCCTACGATATAAGTGTGATGAGGTTAAGGTTTGTTGTGCCCCTAACGAAGAAGTATATATTGCAAGGTGGGGAGGGTAGTATGACCATCCTAAACATTCTCATAGCTCTGCTCCTGCGCCCCCGCTACTTGTATCTCGTTGATTCTCGAGTCGCTCTCGGAGCTTTTGCCAAAGGCAGAGCGGCCCCGCCCTCAACGCCGAACTGTCTCAGTCTCCGACCGCCGCTTTGCGGCTCCCTGACTCCTCCCGCCAATCCCGCCGACGATCCAACGCGGGGCTGTCGCCTCCGCAAAGCATCAAACGTCGCCTTGGGAGGTCTGTAGCACACTTAGGAATATTCTTTTACCTTTGTAAACCCAAGGGAATATATAAAAATGTATTTTTATTAAGGTTCTAAGGGGAGTATAAAGGTGACCTGATTGCTTTCTCAACGCTTTTCTGGGAAAGCGACGGCCTCTAACACTGAACAGCTCCGCGGACAGCTCGGACCCAGAGTGGGGCCTGATTCCCCGATAGGGTTTAGGGTTTAGGGTTTGGGGTTTGGGGTTTGGGGTTTAGGGTTCGGTTTGGGGTTTAGGGTGACCTAGAGTAGGCCCTTATTCCCGTTTGTTAGAGAACGAAATGTGTTGGAAGGTCCCGGGTAGGGTGTTCTTTTTGGGGAGATTCGGTTTTAAGGTGCATGGGTCCCATAGAGTCAATAGCTGTTTCAAGGTTGTTTTCAGGGTTTATCTTGACAAGGCTTCCAGGGTCTAGGGAGGCTGTAGGTTTGTTAATCATGCAGGGTTTTGAAAGGGTCTTCTAACTCGACAGTAAGGGTTTGTAGAGTTTGGTTGTTTACAGTTTCAAGATTGTATTTCGGCTTTACGGCAGCACGATGCCAAGACCCTGCGAAAGTCGAAGCTCCTGGGGTTTAGTTTTCATTTCCCTTACTGGAAGGTTCATGGGTACTCAGAAGTGGGGTTATAAGTTATAAGTACCTTGATTAACGTTATAGTATAGGTTACCTTACTTATAACCCTACTTTGCTTCCCTTGCTGCTAAATTGTGGAAACCTGTTTCTAACTACTTTTGGAAAAAGTGGAGAGGCACCCCGAACCTACCCCTTAACCCTAAACCCCTCAACCTCAAGCCATGAGCTCTAAACCCCAGCTGAACCCAAAACCTTAAACTACACCCTAAACCCAAAACCCCAAGCAGCAACACGTGGAGCAGGCGCGCCAGCTTCGGCAAATCGCCCTCTCGCTGCGGCGGGGAGACCCGAGGGTGCTACTTTGGGTTTAGGGTTCAGGGTTCAGGGTTTGGGGTGTAGGGTTTAGGGTTTAGGGTTTGGGGTTTAGGGTTTGGGGTTTAGGGTTTGGGGTTTGGGGTTTAGGGTTTGGGGGGGGGGGCTTAGGGGGCTTCAGGGGTTTAGGGGGTTCGGAGGTCAGGGTTCTAGGGGTGTAGGGTTTCGAGTTGAGGGCCGTTAAATGCCCTGACATTCAGGGTTCCAGGGCTTCGGGTTTCTATGTAGTGTGGACCTCACTTGAAGGTTCATGGGTATTTAACAAGTGGGGTTAGAAGTACCTTAAGTAAGGGTATAACGTAGGTTAGCTTACTTATAACTTATAACCTTACTTAAAGCTACTCATGAACCTTCAAGCACGCACACAACACAGATGGGTGTCCGAAGCGCTGCAAGGGATTTCACCAAGACACGCTCGGGCATGGCAGATTGTTGGCAGCGTCTTCGTACTCGTTCAGGGCGGGCAACCAAAAAAACCCTCCTCATGGGCCAGGGCGTTAGCCTGGCAATCCGTATGAAGTTTGCTAGGCACGCGAAGTCGAGCATAAGAGCCCATCATGCGTTTGCCCGCTTAACAACTGCTGATGTGCGCCGGTACCTGCTCGTGAAGAAATCAAAGTGGCCGCCTCTGTTCAAGGCAAGTGTCCCAGCGCCGGATCCGGAAACCCTGAACCCTAGACCCTAAACCCTAAATAATCCCTCAACCCTAAACCCTCAACACCCCAAGCATGCCCTAAACTCGAAAACCCCGAAGGCCCATCCACCCTAAAGCCAGAGACAGTAAAACCATGAGTCCTAACCCTTAAACCTAAATCCAGGTACCCTATACCAAAATACCCCGGAACCCAGGAAACCTGAGCTAAGCCCTAAACCCATGTTCTCATAAACCCACTGACCCATGTCCCTAAACTCCTTAATCCCCACACCCCCAAAGCCTAAACCCCACCATCCCCAAACCCCAAAGTCCAAGACCCAAAATTCTTTAAACGCGACAAAACCCTAAAGCCACGCACCCTACATCCTAAACCCTCAAGAACCCTAAACCCCAAATGCCTCAACCCTAAACCCTAAACCTAAACGCTAAACCCTAAACCCTAAACCCTAAACCCTATACCCTAAACCCACGACCCTAAACCCTATACCCTATACCCCATACCCTAAACCCTAAAATTGTCAAATCATGGCAGGCTGGAGGATGGCGCGGAGGAGGCCTTCAAATCCCAGGCGGAAATTTGGGTTTAGGGTTTTGGGGTTTCGGGTTTAGGGTTTAGGGTTTAGGGCTTAGGGCTTTGGGGTTTCATGTTCAGGGTTTGGGGTCGTATGTTTCGAGTTTATCATGTGCGTAAGAACCCCCAGAGAATAATAATCCCCATACTGCCCTCATAGGGAAGAATCTTGCTTTGTTATGTTATTATATTTTCTATTTCTTGTGTGGGGGGGGGGGGGTTCTTAAGCAATCCGTAGTTTAGGGTTTAGGGTTTAGGATGCACCCTATAGGGGACTGTACAAACTCTACGTCCACATCCACCAACTTGGGGGATTCGATTTATTTTTTGAACGGCGTGAACCCTAAACCCTAGAACCTACACCCTAAACCCTAGGCACTAAACCCCTAAACCTTAAACCCCAAACCCTAAACCCTAAACCAGAAGCCGTTAAGCCCCTAAACCCTAAACCGCCCCTCGGTGAAGACGCAGCTCTGCGCCAAGAGCCTTGTTGCGGCCCAGCGGTTTGGGGTTGGGCTTCATGGGCTTTAGGCTTCATGCTTTGTAGGGTTCACGAGGTTTAGGGTTCATGGGGTTTAGGGCTTAGGGTTAGGGTATAGGAGTTTAAGGATTTAGGGCTTAGGGTTTAGGGTTTGGGTTTAGGGTATGGGGCATAGGGCCGCTTCGGGCTGCTTAGGGTTTCGGGATACGTAGGGTTGCATGGACCACATGGAAAATTTTGAGCACGTCCACCATTCTTATAACCTTAAATACACCTTCCGATGAACCTTAAACTACCAAAGATCAGAACGACAGATGGTTTTGTACAGGACAAAGGAATCTGGAACATTCTTAGGGATCTTGTTAAAACAAAACATGCTGCTCTTAAATCCCCATCGTAAGAATCCTTAGCCCGAAGCCTACAGTCCCTCAACCCACAACAACCCAGAAGTCCCTCACACAAAATTGAACAAGCCTAAGGGTTTAGGGTTTAGGGTTTAGGGTTCAGGGGTTCAGGGGTTTAGGGCTTTAGGGGGAGACAGGCGCCTGCTACCTGGAATCGTCTCCAGGAGTGAATGCCCCAGCGACCCTCGGGTGGCCCTTACGGTTTCGGGGTTTAGGGGTTTATGGTTTAGGGGTTTAGGGGTTTTAGGGGTTTAGGGGTTTAGGGGTTTAGGGTTTACGGTTTAGGGGTTTAGGGGTTTAGGGGTTTTGGGGTTTAGGGGTTTAGGGGTTTAGGGGTTTAGGGGTTTAGGGGTTTAGGGGTTTAGAGGTTTAGGGGTTTAGGGGTTTAGGGTTTAGGGTGCGTAGGGTTGAGGGCTTTTCGGAGCTTAGGGACTTGGGTAGCCCCTGAGGGATACAGGTTAGGGACTTAGTGGCTCAGGGAACTAGGGTTCATTGTTGAGGGCTGAGGGTTTGTTTTGGGGGTCTGGCTTTATAGATTTTTTTTGGGGTGCATAGGGTTGAAAGGGTTTGATAGGGTTTAACAGCGTAGTATGGGGATTAGCAGGGTCTAAGGGGGCTTAATGTCTTAGGGTAATTTCATGGGCCTAAACCCTAAACCCTAAACCCTAAACCCTAAACCCTAAACCCTAAACCCTAAACCCTAAACCCTAAACCCTTCCTTTTAAAGGGGTTCCGAAGTATCGGCCCGGGGGTTTTAAGGGGTATGTAAGGGGCATGGACTAGGTAGGTCCCCCTTTTAAGGGCCCTTCAGATTCATATGATGGGGCCATGCAAGTACCCTAAGATGAGAGGGTTCCATGTTGTGTGGATTTAAGACCCTGCACCCTAAACCCTAACCCCTAAACCCTAAACCCTGGTAGTTTTGTCGTGAGTGTATTTAGAAGGTTTGGTACATAGAGTTATTCCCTTTGATGTTGGGTTGGCTTCCCTGATTTGGGGTTTAGGGTTTACGGCTTTTACACGTTTGATCCTAAGCTACTCTGACTAGGGATGCAAAAGAGGATCTCCCCAACATGAACCCTAAGAGTCTAAGACTTAGGGTCTACCGTTTAGGGTTTTGGGCTTTAGAGTTTTGGGCTTTAGGGTTTTGGGGCTTTCGGGTTTTTGAAACCTTGGTATATCAAGACCAAGGTCAATGTGAAGTTTTCAAACGACATGTTGCCACAGGGGAACCAATCCCCTTATGCACCGGCTTGATTGGAGAGCCGCTCAGCATGCTGGTTTAGGGTTTAGGGTTTAGGGGACTGCCCATCCTACCTGGAGCAGTTTATCTGCGAAGGCCGGCCAATGGTGTCGTTGGAAAGTGTGGGCGAAATGGAAATGGTGCCCGTTTCTCCGGGGTCCTTGAGCTTGGAGTGCATTCCGTGGGCGCAGGGCTTTGGGGTTTGGGGCTTTAGGGTTTTTGGGCTTTAGGGGGTTTAGGGTTTTGGGCTTTTACGGTTTTGGGCATTAGGGTTCAGCGGGGAAGGCGGTTTCGGTAGAAGGAGACCCGTGTGCGGAAGAGTGGACAGCAAAAGGGGAAGACCTCTTCCCTTGCTATACTCAAGGGGCTAAAGGAGGGTCCCTGATAAGAGTCCTCAGGTAGAAGGGGTCTCTTCTAGGGGTCCCTTCTAGGGGTCCCTCCTTATACCCCTTAATAAAATACCCCTTAATAAACGTGAATTCCAGATGGGGGTAAGAAGAAGAAGAAGACCGGAAGCCCGAAGCAAGAAGAAAAGCAGGGCCGCCCGGAAAGAAGGCAAAGCCTGCAAAGAAACGGAAAAAGAAAGAGAAAATCAAGCCCGCCCTACCGGGAGGTTGCGGGACACCCCGTATTGTGGCAGGCTCGCATGCGAGTCATTGGCTGAGGAGCCGGCAGCTGCTGCGGAGGCCAAACTTGCAGGATTCTTGCGTTTTTAGGTTTTTTTTTTTTTTTTTTTGGGGGGGGGGGGGGGGGGGGGGGTTGTGGTGGATTTTAGCTTAAGGTTTAGGATCAGGGTTTAGGGGTTTAGAGTTTAGGGTTTGGGGTTTCGGGTAGCAAGGCTCTGGGTTGAGGTTTGGTAGAGAGGTTTACGCCAGAGGGGTTTAGGAGTTTTGGCGTTTAGTTTAGGAGCTTTTACGGCCTTGGGATGTTGGGTTTCGGGGTTTTAGGTGGCCAAGTGCTTAGGGCTGACTAAGGAACATCAAGCGTCCGCATATCCTATATAGGGGCCTTCATCCAAACAACTTTTCGGGGTAGGTTGTTTAGGGTGTAGGGTTCGGCGTTCAGGATTAGGGTTGAAGATTAGAGTTTAGGGTTGAGGGTTTAGGGCTGAAGGTTTCGGGTAAACCCTAAACCCTAAACCCTCAAGCACTGTAACTTGAAATTATTAGCAAAAACTCAAAAAGAAACTCATTGAAACTCCTCGAAACTTTCCTCGAAGCTTCCCCGGACCTGAACCCGTAACACTTTCAATAAACCCCAAACCCCTAAACCCTTAACCCTATAAACCGTATAAACCGTATAAACCGTATAAACCGTATAAACCGTAAACCCTAAACCCTAAACCCTAAACCCTAAACCCTAAACCCTAAACCCTAAACCCTAAGGTTTCGGGTTTAGGGAGTTTAGGGCTTCGGGCCTCCCCCTCCTGGTGCCAGGTTGCCGCGGAGTCTCTGGCGCAGCGCCTGGAGGAGGCGAGCCGTTTTGGCGGCTTCGGGCCGGGGTCTCTTTAGGGTTTAGGGTTTAGGGTTTAGGGTTTAGGGTTTCCTGTGGAGGAGGCGAGCTGTTTTGGCGGCTTCGGGTCTGTGCGGTCTTTGGGGTCTTGAGGTTTCAGGTGTCAGGCTTAGGGTGTAGAGTTTGAGGGTCTTTAGGGTCTTCTGGGTTTTTTTAGGATTTAGGGAGGCTGGAGGGTTGGGTCTTTAGGGTTTTGAGGGTTTGGGTTTATGGGTTTAGAGCTCAGGGTCTAGGGTCGTTTTAGGGTTTTGATGGTTGGAGCTATGGGCTTGGGGTTTAGTGAAAGGTTTAGAGCTTAGGGTTTCAGGGTGCAGCGGTTTGGGGTTTGATGGTCTAGGTTTTAGGGTTTCGGGTTTCGGATTTAGGGTCTTCAGAGTCTTTGGGTCTTGAGGGCCTTCGGGGTTTAGGGTCTAGGGTTTAGGATTTAGGGTTTAGGGTTTAGGGTTTAGGGCAAGAGGGCCTCCCAGTGTCTGAAGAGGTCGTGCCTGGCAGGGTTTTCGCTTGCGGCACCCAAGCTACACCCGACCCTATACTGGGGGATGCTCTAAATTATTTCCTTTCTTTTGGGTACCCACTATACAAGACCCTAAACCCTACCAAACCCTAAACCCTAAACCCTGAAGACAAAAAACACATGAATTGTATGTGGTCTCCTTCTGAATTTCACAAGTGATTTGTCTAAACAGCTGACAAGCCGAGTTTAAGTATATTAATCCAAAATGTTCAATTTACTTCAGTGAGGTATGTCTTCGACGCGGCTGGTCCTATCATCATGGCCCTGCACTCCATCAAGACGAGAAACGACCTGAGACGTGTAGGAAATCTCTACTACACGCACGCTTTTGCCTGCGCCTTTCTGCAAGCCACAGCTTCGGGGAATGGCTGTCTCCATCCCATTTACTCTGCCGCGGTAGGCACCTGCACGCGCCATCGCGGGCAGCTGACTTCCCTGCTGCCTCGGGCCACAAATGGCTTCTGGACAAACGTCCTGGAAGATCTCATGCAGGCCCCGCCATTTCAACAAATCCGCGATGGCCTTTTGGAGGAGTGCAGACAGCATGAGGAGTTCCGGTACCTGAGCGTCAATGCTACCTTCAAGATCAATTTCAAGGTCATCGGGCAGGCAGACTTCCATGCGTCGCAGTCTTCCTGGGAAAACGCTGCCATGCCAGAAAACGAAGCAGGGTGCCGGACCCTCACTGTCGCGGCCGGACAGGCGCCGCTTAAACCTGGGAGCTTTACCCCCCCCAAACCCCCTCCCCCCACCCCCCACTCCCCAGCTCCGACCCTCCCATTCCCCCCGTCCTCACCCCCCCCCCTTCCCCAATCCCCCGAAACAACAATAATAGGTTCGAAAACAAAACTTTCGCTCAAAACTTTCGCTCAAAACGTTTCGCTCAACACGTTTCGCGTGAAACGTTGCGCTCAAAACTTATTGAGACCTCCGAGAACTCCAGGTTCACCTCCTTTAAAGGGCTCCAGGCTTCACCTTCTCTAGGGTTTTGCGCGCTCCAGGTGTAGGGCCCCCTGCGCCAGACGTCCTTACCTCCTTTAGGACCCTTCGAAGGCCCAGGTTTCACCGCCTTTAGGGCCCCTCTGAGAGCTCCTTTAGGTGCCCCGGCAGCTCAGGCTCCGTTCGGCCCCAGAAGCTACAGGTTTCACCTTCTTAGCTCATTACTTCGGCGTTCGCAGTATACATGTATCTTAGGAGCAAACATGTCCCGTCAGCCCTTTCGCTCAAGGCTATCTCTCAATTTGTTCGGAGAGACTAGATCATGGTCTTCGCCCCGAGGCAAGACACTAGCCATTTTTCAATTGTTGCAACACTGCACCGGAAAGGAACTATCAAGACGAGTTCCAAGAAGCCGGCGCGTAACATGACTCACGGCGCGCGTTACACAACACATTCCCGATGATCAGGCCACAAGAAAGCTGCATTTGCTGCACACCGAGTTCAGTGGCGCAGAACCTTGGCGAGTCATCCAGCTTGCCACCGCCTTAGAATCCACTTTAGCGCTACCCTTCAAACAAAAGAAAATAGAGCATGACCTACGCGTGCAGGCGCTAAAGACAGACAAAAATTCCGAGACCGCGTGCAAAGAGCTACCGCGAGAGAACGAGAGGCGCGAATCCCAGTCATGCCAGACTCCACTTCCACTTCCGTTCAGATCTGATCGGAAATTAAGGAAGCTGCGAAGAAGCTTGGAAAGCCACCGTCCGAAGCTCATCCTCCAGTTCTACTCAAAGAAATCCTTTCACCAACTCTGCGGCCTCAGGCAAGATGTGCACTGGCAAGATCTAGAAATTTAAGACCTGCAGCAGAGTGTGCGCAGGCAGAGGACAAAGACTTGCAGCGGTGCGTACACAAACATCAAACAATAGATGTGTTCTGCAACCAGATGATGATGGAGCACTGTGACGCCCGACACAAGTCTCTGCTTGAGGTGAAGACAGCCGCTGGAGGATCCGGGAGCCTCACGCCCGAGGGGCGTGTGGAGTTTGGCCAGCGCGCTCTGAGACTTATGGCTGTGAGCCTCGCGCGTCGCGTCGCGGCAGACATCCGTTACTTGTCTGCTGATGGACTCCAAACCAAGGCAGGAACCTTAGCCTCATCGACTACTTATTTGTACGTTTCATGTTGACCAGAGTACGCTATAGGTCCGGCCGCCTCTGCGTGGCCACAGCCCTGCAGCCTCTGCGGCCTCGGTGTCGGGACATCTGGGCCTGAAAGCTTGTGCTGCTCTAATATTGTCGATTCTGTCGATCCTCTCGATCTGTCAGGCGGCCCCTCTGGATCTGGCTTCCGACCGGGCCACGTTTCGGCCTCAAGCACGGTCCTTGCAAAGTTGGTTTTTAAGCACACGCTGTCTCAGGGTACGTTTCTGCGACGGAAGCGGCTTGGCTTAACTGCCGCCTCCCCCCCGCCCCCCGCCCCCCGCCCCCCCGCCCCATGTTGTAGAAACTCGGCAGGCAAGAACCCTAGACTCTGATCATTACAGCCATGGACAGGATCCGCTCTCAGCAGGACACCAGCGTGGCACGGTCATTCACGCCTGATCTAAAGGATGAACTCGTGCTGGATCCGGCTTTTCTCCGACTTCGCTCCGGCGGAGTGGATGTACCTGACACCGCAGGCGACATTTGAAGACCTGAAAGCCACTTGGATGGAACTTTTGTTCTTTCATTTTAGAGGCCACACAGTTGAACAGTTCAGCGCGTTGCCATCGAAGAACATATGGACTCGCCGGGTTTTAAAAACTACCTAGTCCAAAAGATTTTTTCGGTCAAAACGTTTCGGTCAAAGCTTTCGGTCAAATCTTTCGGTCAAATCTTTCGGTCAACGCGTTTCGATCAAAACTTTTTGGGACCCAAACCCTATCTAATTTCTATAAGCCCTAAACCCTAAACCCTTCCCCCAAAAAGGCGCCCCCCCCTCCCCCAACTTAGAGAATCTCCCTAAGCCTCCATCCCAAGACCCAGAGCATGAGTAGGCGAGCCCTTACACTCCTACACCCCTAAACCCTAAACCCAAACACCCGACACTTTAAACCCTGAACCCTGAACCTTGAACCCTCAGCCGTAACCCCGAACCCCGAATCCCGAACCCTAAACCCTAAACCTGAACTCTACACTCCTAGACCCTGAACCTTCATCAAGCCCTACATCCGAAGCCTCTGAGTTGGTAGGGGGGAGGGGGGGTTTAGGGGTTTAGGGTTTCGGGCTTCGGATAAGGGTGTAGGGTTTAGGGTTGAGGCACAGTTTGGTGCTGGGGCTTAGGGTTTTGCACTCTCTTGGGGTTTGGGTTCCAGGCTTCGGTCCGTGTGGTATCCCTAAACCCTAAACCCTCAACCCTAAACCCTAAACCCTAAACCCTGGGCCCAGTGTAGGAATCTCTGCAGTTTCTGTCGGGCTGTGCAGGGTCTTCGTGCTTCGTTCATAGGTCCCAACGCTAAACCCCATACAAACCCTAAACCCTAAACCCTAAACCCTGAACCCTGAACCCTGAATCCTGAACCTTGAACCCTGAGCCCTAAACCCTTCCTCCGACCCCCCCCCCCCACCCCCCCCCAATGGTATCCCCCCCCCATGATATCCCCTGCAAACCCTGCCTGTTAACCCTAAAAACACCACGGACCAGGGGGGACAGAGAAACCTCAGCCTACACCCCAAACCTTGACCCTAAGCCCGAAAACCTAAACCCACGAATGAGCGACAGGAGGGAGAAGGGCAAAACCGAAACCTTAGCCGCTTTAACCCTGAACCCCGAACCGTAACCCAGCACGAACCACAGGGGGGAGAGGGGAAACCGTAAACCTACCATTACCCCAAACCTTGAACCCTACAAACACTAACCCACAGTGAACCAATGGGCCAAAGTGAAAATCCTGAGCTCTACAGCCTAACCCTAAACCCCTAAACCCATGAAACACAGACCGTGAAGCACAGGGGGGGGGGAAACCCAAAACCCACCATGAACCACGGGGGGGATACCATGGTGGGGGAAGGCGGGGGGGGCGCCTATGCTGGCGCATATATACCATCAAAAGAATTATATAGGTCCCACCATAAGAAGTAAGTAGGAGTTTGGCTGCGAGCGGCGTGACTTTGGTGCACCAACTTGGAGGATCGGGGGGCCCAGTAAGGCCCAGTAAGGGGGTACAAAGCAGAGTTGTAACTACCCCAAAAAGGGACCCCAGATATTCTGAAACCGAAACCTAACCCTAAACCCGAAACCCTCAACCCGAAACCCTAAACTAAACATGGCACAGATCCTCCAAGCAATAGCGTCCGGAGGCGGCTGGATCCGTCACTCTGGGCGACCACGTGGAGGACGGTCCATCAACCATCGGCTCCGGACATTGCATGGGCTTTGGGTGTAGGGGTTTAGGGTGTAAGGGTTTATACCTTTAGCGTTTAGGGGCTTCGGGTTTAGGGCTTAGGGGAGAAGAGCGTGGGGCTTCGCCTGAAGGGTTTGAGGGGTCGGCTGCGGCCTGAGGAGAGGACTAAAGTCGGATAAGGATCTAGAAAGGCCTACCCAAGCACTCAATCCAAACCCTAAGCCGTAAAACCCAGACCCCTAAACCCCTTACACCCCCTGAACCTCCTAAACCCCCTAAACCCCTGAAACCCCCTAAACCCCCTAAACACCCCCTGAACGCCGCCTAAACGCCCCCTAAACGCCCCCTAAACACCCCCTAATAACCCCCCTAACACCCCCTAAATGCCCCCTAAGCCCCTGGAACCCTAAACCCCGAAACCCTATATCCCAAAGGATTTCTACGTGCTGGATCTTGCGGTGCAGCCCGGGAAAGAGGCGCCGTCCCGTGCGGGGCTCCCGTTAAAAGGCGAAGTTTCAGATCAAGGGCCCTCTTACTCGAAGTAGGTTAGGGGAGGGTTCAGGGTTTTAGGGTTTAGGGTTTAGGGTTGAGGGTTTTGGGTGCAGGGTTTAGGATTTAGGGTTCAGGCTTTAGAGTTTAGGGATGAGGGTTTAGGGTTGAGGGTTTTGTGTTCAGGGTTTAGGGTTCAGGGTTTAGGGTAGTTGCTGTATGTCTGGCAAGAAATCAGAATATGCCGATTCAGCTAGGGCCGTCATAGTGAGGGAGCATCCTTGAAGGACATCGCCGTGTAGGGCGAAGCTGTACGCCCAACCCTAAACACTCTAAGCCCTAGACCCTAGACCCCACACCCCTAAAGCCTGTAAACCCTATAAACCCCATAAACCCTATAAACCCTGTAAACCCCATAAACCCTATAAACCCTATAAACCCTATAAACCCTATAAACCCCATAAACCCCATAAACCCTAGGAACCCTAGGAACCCTCTAAACCCTGCAAACCCTGTAAACTCTGTAAACCCTATAAGCAAGTCTCCAAAGCCTCGCGGTCCACCTCGCCGTCATGGAGCTAAACACAAGGAGAGTGACAGCAAGACAGTGTGACAGTGGTTTAGGGTTCAGGGTTTAGGGTTTAGGATTCAGGGTGTGCTGGAAGGCAGCCACCCCGACACCCTAAACCCTAAAGCCTGAGCCCTAAACCCTAAACCCTAAGCCCCCTAAGGAAGCGGAGGCGGGAGCGAGCAGTGGTGGTCGTCGTTTTGAAGCATGTGCCGTTTCGCTGGGGAGGGAAGGCTGCTGTCATTTCTTCTCCTCTGGTTGATGGTTATCATGTGTTTCCCTACTACCCCCCTCTATACGGTTTAGGGTTTAGGGTGTAGGATAGGGGTTAGGGGTACTACCCCCCTTTTAGTTATTCAAAAGACCTGTCCCAAAAATGGCCGCAAGATAGGTTACTCTTTTCAGTGAGGGTTCCCTTTTATGGTCGTATTTGTTTTGATGGTCCATCCGTTTAAAGGGCCTTTAGAGCAACCAATGCAGACAGAAACCCTAAACCCTAAACCCTAAACCCCAAACCCTAAACCCTAAACCCTCAACTCAACCCTAAACCCTAAACCCTAAACCCTAAACCCTAAACCCTAAACCCTAAACCCTAAACCCTAAACCCCAAACCCCTAAACCCCCAA